GGGGGGTGGGGAAATGGGCGGGGCCAGGGCCCGTGGAGGGTCCTCTTTTTTTATTTTTTAAATATGGTAACCCTAGGTTTGGGCAGTATGAAATATCAATTCATCATCAGTAATAATCTTCCTGTGATTTACAGCACCACTTCAACACATAATAGCTTAGTCTGAGTTAGCATCCAAGTGTTCATTCAGGCTTAGCAAATTATAAGGTTTTTCTGAATGAGTCTGTCAGTGTGGAAGAGCAGATCTCTTCGCTCACCTCAAAATAATCCCCATTGTGGTTGGAGGCAAGAATGGACAGGACAAGCTGCAGCTAAACAATTTGGAGAAGATCAGAAGGCCACAACTGGCCTTTGTTAAAAGTAGATTATGAAAGAATCTAACTTTCTAGTTAAGACTGATGGCTCTGGGCAGGGTTTGACAAATCCTCTCCTCAAAGGCTACTAAAATTTCCCCGGCAAATGGGAGTGTTTCCTAGCACTTTTTACAGAATTAGATTAAACCAGCTGTTAAATGCCTGTTCCTGCTGTACATTAGCACTTCCACTCTTGCTGGTGGGGGATCTGCACGAATGCAGAAATATACTTCCAAGTTTTCCCAGTGTAGACATACCTTCTGAACCATGAAGCTGCTTTTTGACCACTATTCTGATCTTGGAGCTGGAGTACGCTCTGCTCTTTTCATGCTGCTTCTGGTCCTGATTCTGTGCTGAGGCTGTCTGCACCTCCATGGGGGTAAAATAGTTGTAAATGCATTGGCTGAACCTCTTTGAGCCTCCACTTCTATCCTTTGATGTGGGGGAATTCTGCATCACTGCACAATGCAGAATTTTGCAGAAATTAATGTTGTGCGTGCAGTTTCCTTTTCCCCTCCCACAGAAATGGGCTGCAAAGATGTTGACTGACACTAGGGGCTGTTGGACCTGTCAGAGCCCAGCTCGCAAATAGAAGACAAGGCCAGCAGGAGGGGGAGGGAACTGGAGGGTTCCCAGCATATCCTATAGGACGGAGGTGGCGGCGCGCAGGAAACTCTGTGCAAGCCCGGGACCCAGCATCAGGCTGTTTCTCCCTCTGGATCCCTGGGCTCTAGGAGGTAGGGTCTGTCAGTGTCTGTGCCAGGGGGGGACCCGCAGCTGTCTGATAGGGGGTGTGAGTGTCTGGGCCGGGGGTGGGGAAGCAGAGAAGCAGGAACTGGGTTGTCATAAGGGTTTCTTTAACGCTCTACTCCTGGGGGAATTTTTCTGTGTCTGTATTGTTACAGATATACTTGCTGACAGGTATTTTTAAATAAATTACCAAAATTGAAACTGGCATGATTATGTAGTGCTATTTTGTCAAATAAAATTTGCAGAATTTTAAAATATTGTGTGCAGAATTTTTAATTTGTTGGCACAGAATTCCCCCAGGAGTAGGAAATGCACTGATCAGCAAAAGGGAAAACAATCTCAAGTTTCCCTGTGTTGAGCAGGCAGATTAACTATTATAAAAGCTGACTTGCTACCCTTATAGGGTGAGAACCATACATGTTTAATGCATCTTGTACACTATATGAAAGCTTCTTTTAACTTTTAAAATATAGAACATATGAAATGGGTTAATTTTGTATTTGAAATATATGTAATATATGCCAGTAGATGTATTTTGCAAAATACGTTTAACTTACAAGTTAAGTATTAATTGAATTTAACAGATATCGTTTTGTTCAGATACTAAAAATATAAAGTGCATATTGCATCTGGTGTACATGTACAATGGTAAATATTGACTTAGATTCATATCTGCATGGATATATTCAGGAATAGTTTCAAATATTTTCTGTATAGGAAAGCCTTGTTTTTTTTGCTTTTTTGTAATGGAAATAATTACGTTTTCACAGAAATTTAGAGGTGGCTGAGAGCTGCTTTGTAAGCAGCAAGTGCAAACCAGCAATCTTGTCCAAACATTGATGCCAAAAATCAGGGCGTCTTTATTTTTGTCAGGTATGCTTAATTTGCAGATCAGTGTAACTCCACTTGTACAAGTGCTAGACAAGCAGAGAATCACCTCATTCTTGAATCTTGGACTCAGATCATTGTTGGTGGCATTTTACACCAACATCACCTGACTGTAAATGTCTGCAGAGTGCACAAGATGGGAAATGTAGCAGTGGATCAGTCACCCATGACCCTGAATCCCCACTGCCCAGCATACTGCACAGGGGAGCCCCTAAAGGACTCTTCTGTGCTGTCCAGGAAGTGTGCCTCCCCAGCTTAAGCTCCTTAAACCTTTCCTCACATCCTGTGCCGTTAATTGTACCCCCAACTCGTGCATTGCACTTCTTTCTCTGTGGGGAAGAGGGCAGGATTATTTACCTCTAAAAGAAGGTAAACTGCTTTCATTCATCTCAGCAGGCTGTAAACTCTTTAGGCTGTCTGTGTGCTCTGTCCCTCAAAATGGTATGTCTGAACTCCCCGAAGGAGTCAAAGGTTTTTCTCTGATGGACCTCATAACCTGTCAGAGGGAAAGAGAAACATTTAGACTAGTGCAGTACTGGACGACTTGTCAAGGAGTGGGTCTGAATAAAAGATGGTATAGCATCTACTATTTATTACTTGGGTCTCTCTTGGAAGTGTCAAAGAATTGACTAGTGATTGTGTTGGCACTTACTAGAACTAGGTCACTAACTGTTCATCTGTCCTACGACACTTACCATTTCACATAATATGAAATGTGGTGAAATACATCTTTTGATGTGCTATCCAGACTTCTCCCTTACATAGTTTGCTTGAATTTTTACTTTCCACTGTCATTACCTTTGGAATCTTCTCTTTAATGAATGATATCCTCTTACAAAATCCATAATGGCTGATTGCTTTCTATTGAAACCTTTTGGGGAACTTTTCTTCTGACAGCCTGAGAGAGTTGTGTTTAGAATGGAGGACATGCTGCTTCTTTGCTGTAATAAACTCATACTTAAAACTTTTTTGTTCATTTTACAGTCTGCTAAACTACGTAAGTTGCCTCCCTTTCTTACTGTCTCGCTCCTGAGGTTTAACTTTGACTTTGAGAAGTGTGAACGATACAAGGAAACAGGCTGCTATACGTTCCCTATCCGGATTAACCTCAGGCCTTTTTGTGAGCAGGTTTGAACAATTTTGTCTTAATTTGTTCTCTGGCTGAATATGTGGGAAATTTATCTCCAGGATGAGCCATATTTCATTTTACCTTTTTGGTCAGGTCACAGGCTATTTGCAGGAGAAACTGTATGGCTTTCCTTCTGTCTGCAATCTGTCCTTCCAAAAGAGATCTCTTTTAATAGTGTTGGAAACTCTAACTTTTGTGGTGCGAACACAAAGCTTTTATGTGTAGTACTGACAAATGGGAAAAATCAGTAATAGCATAAAACTTAATTGAACATTTCCAGGCAAAAATCTCATTACCTGAAAGTTAGTTGTTGCATTATATTAATTTTTATGTTGGTATTATCTAATAGCATTATATAGAAACTCAGTTGTATATTGCCACACCCTTATAGTTTATGCATTCTCTTAGAAATCTATACAGATGAATAGTCATATTAATATAACCAAAACATAGTTATTAACAAAACAAAGCCTTTACGTAATTAACTTTAGTCCTTAAACTATGTAAATAATATACTTACTGCAGACACACTTTAAAGTCTGCTTTCCTAAAATCTTAATCACCATGGTTTTGGTCTTTAAAGTTCTGCAATTTGGCAGTTGAGGAAGAGTTTTTCAACATTAGCTTTGGGGGAGGAGCATATTATTATTTTGCTTTTATTTAATTTTTGTAAAAGTTAAGCTGCATGTGAGGGTTTTTTTGTTAAGCTTCGCAAAGTTTCCAGAGTTAACAAAGCCTTTTAGAGGGGCCAGTGAAATTAGACACCCACCCCCAGTGGTGTGCTGGAGCCGGTTCCCACCGGTTCGCAGGAACCGGTTGTTAAATTTAGAAGTCCTTTTAGAACCGGTTGTTCCTGGACAACCGGTTCTAAAAGGGCTTTATTTAACAAAGGCTCGGGCAGCTGTCCACCCTGCCCCCGGCCCCAGCTCACGTCCCCCTCCTCCCCTGAACGCTCCGCCCCCTTCTCCTCCCCTGAACGCTC